CTTTTTTTTTTTTAAAAAAAAAAATATATTTTATGGGTTTTGATTTCATACTTTTTGTTATTTTCAGGTTCTTCTTCAGGGTTTTAGAGTTCACATTTTGGCGCTATAGTATTGTTAACATGCCTCTCTTAATTAGTGTTGTTAGAATAGATCTTGAAGGACTTTTTTTGTGCATGTTTCTTGATCAGGTAATGGAGTGGGTCATAAGGGAGAGACCTTACAGGCCAAAAGAGCTGGACTACTCGTACCTACTCGAGTTCACCATGAAGCACCATGGAGTTTCACATGGCGAGACCCTTTTCTCCCGAATCCCATCCGAGTTCCAAAACGGGCTCCTCTATAACAATCTCGTGCTCGGCTGCCTAGACAGAGGCCTCATAACTCTCTCTCGGGCTTACATGAGGAAAATGAGGGAATTGGGCCACCCTATATCATACCTGGTTTTCAACCGCTTGATACTTCTCCATTCCTCCCCGAGCCGCCGCAAATCAATCCCCAAAATCTTGTCTCAGATGAAAGCCGATAAAGTCACCCCTCATCCCTCCACATACAATATCTTGCTAAAGATCGAGGCCCACGAGCACAATATCGAGGGATTGGTTAGAGTCTTTGGCGAAATGAAACGGGCCTCCGTCGAACCGAATGAGATCACTTACTGCATTATGGCTGTTTCTCATGCCGTCGCCAGGCTGTACATCACGTGTGGGTCCTACACCGAAAAAATCGAGAAGTCAATGACGGGTCGTAACTGGTCAACACTGGACATTCTCGTGATGCTGTACGGTTACCTAAGGAGTGAGAAGGAGCTGGAGAAGACATGGGCTCAAATTCGAAGTCTGCCGCATGTCAGGAGCAAGAGTTATGTGCTGGCAGTCGAGGCCTTTGGGAGGACCGGGAATCACAGTCGAGCAGAGGAGATATGGCTTCAGATGGCATCCGAAAAGGGAATAAAATCGACCGAGCACTTTAATTCGATGATTGGGGTTCACTGCAGGAATGGGCTCGTTACGAGAGCCACCGGGTTGTATAAAGAAATGGAGAAAAGACTGTGTAAGCCAAATTCCATCACGTTCAGGCATCTGGCCCTCGGCTGTTTGCGGGCCGGGCTTGTGAAAGAAGGTGTTAGGACCCTTGAATTGGGGATGGGATTTGAGACGAGCGATAAAGTCAAAAGGTCAACCCCTTGGTTAGAGACCACGTACTTGATGCTAGAGATTTTTGCGGACCTTGGTGACGTGGATAATGTCGAGAGACTGTTTGAGGAATTGAAGAGAAGTAATTTTACGAGGTACACTTTTGTGTACAATTCGGTAATTAAGGCGTATGTGAAGGCCAAGGTTTACGAGCCTAATCTCCTCCGGAGGATGATTTTGGATGGGTGTAGGCCGGATGCTGAGACATATAGTTTAATGAAGCTGATAGAACAGTTCCGCTCAGGGTAACGTCGGGTTGGTGTGAAGAAATGTGCTTGTGATATGTGGTTTTTGTGTTACTTCTTGATTTCAATGCAAACATGAAGAACTATATTTGGAATAGACAAGGACTAATAGAGCAGCCAACAGGATGGGTCAGAGTGCCAGTGGAATGGAGGTGCTATTTTGTTAAGTGTTATATTTACATTTTGCTTAAAAGTTGTTCCTTTGTCTCAACATGAATTTAGAAGAGTTGAATGATGGGAGCGTATTTTGTCTGCTATGTGAAGTGAGTCGAGTGTATGATTGTGTGTTGACTTCTTCATTTCTGTATTAGTGAGAAATATGAAATTTTCAGAGATAGGGTTGAAGTTCATAGCTCCAAGTATTTCATATCCTGCAGAGATTAAACAAAATAACCTTTTTGGAGTTTGATGGACTCTTAGTCAACGAATAGCTTGTTTTGAAACACGTTGATAGAATTGAAAGATAGGCCCTGAAAAACAGATAGCAAAACAAGCTATCTGTTTTGAATCTCTCAGTTCTAACTTTCTTCTTTCACATGTTATGGAAAAACTATTCAGTAGCTTGTTAAATTGTCATTTGGCATAGTTGCAAAAATGACGATTCACCTTATCTGTAAGCCTTGATTTTCTGATAATTGCTTTCTACTTTTGCAGTAACAGATGAACTGATATATTCCAAACCCGTCCCAGATGAAAATTCTGATGGCCCTAATGCTGTGTAGTTCCTAACTGTTGATACATCAGATAAAGATGAATATCTTGGCCATTACAACATGGAAATGCAAAAATCGTAGCTAGGCCTGATTGTGGAGTCTCTTTTTAACACCCAAATACGGGATTTTTGTGACATTTTCTTCTATTTGCAGTAATATGATCGTTCTAAATTGTTTGTCCTTAATATTCAAATATTCCGGTTCGAATGTTCCGGTTTTTGCTTCCGTTTCGTGATTACTTTGAAAGTAAAAGGATTCATTCTACTTTCTGTTTTGGTTTTTACTATCAATCAGAGTTTTTAAGCTCGTGTATTGTTTGATTTTTGCGGGATACGAAAGTGTATCAACTAGTTGCTTATGTTAGAAATATTATCAGACATGTTAAGTTACTTATCATTTTTGTTTTAAGTGTGTAGTATCTAAGTCTAAGTTATAATAGTATGTTGGCTATGGAGTATTTTTTTATGTTCATGTGAATTTGTAATTGAGAAGAAAAATGTCATATTTTTTTTTTTTTATAATAGGCTGCCCAGAGGTGGTTTTTGTAATTATATTGTATTTTGAATTAAACTTCTTCTATTATAATTAATATTGTGTTTTGTAAAATACTTTTAATATTGTATTTTGTAATTAATAATTTGAAAAATGCCTTTAGTGTTTTGGTACTTTGTGAACTTCTTCCAAAATACATACATGCATCAAGGCCCTTTTAGACACACTCTCTTTCATTGTCTAACTCATTCATTTCTTTACTCAGACACAAGTTAGTACTTTGGTTGTGCGTGATAATCTGTTGATTGCGGGATGTTACGCCTCGCTCCTCCGGACCCGAGTCAGCCCGCGCATGGAGGCAGCGCACACACGGGTTCTACCTGCAAGGATGTTCCGCGACGCACGCCCGAGCCCGCGCCTACCCGAGGAGACCCAAGCAGTCGCATGCGCGCAGGGAAGGCGCGCGTACACACAGGCAGCACGGGTGCGCACGCAGGAAGCGCGCACACGCACGGGGACTGCCCGTCCTTTTGATGACTTCGGCCGTGCCATGCCTAAGTATTGCACATAGATAGGTCCAGTTTTGTCTAGAGGCTTCTAGAAGACCCTAGAGTTGTATAGATACTTGTAGTAGGGACTTGAAGAGCCTAGGGACTTAAAGAGTTGTGTAGAAGGTTCTAGGACTTGTGGTAAGAAGTAGGAGTCTTGTAGAAGTGTTTAGAGGCACAAGACCCTTGTAGGATCAAGAAGGTTTAAGAGGAGGTGGTGCCTATAAATAGGGGAGGCCACCCTCATTTGTAATCCATCCAAGCAACCAACAAGCTCTCATGTACCAAGTTTGTGTGAATAGTAGTACAAGCATTTTCCCAACTCTCTTTCCCACATTCTCTAGCCTTAGTACTCGCACACACCGAGCACGGTCCAGGCACGGTGAGGCTGACTAAGCTAGTTTGCGAAGGGCGCAACGAGGGGCTTAGGCCGCAACCATCTATCAAGAAATAAGGGCGTGACAGGGAGGATTTCAAGGATTTGCAAGGTAATTCTCTCATAATGAAATCTTTGTTGTGGTATGGAGCCTTTCGATGTGAGATATGGTGCATTCCCCTCGTAAGGCAGTTAACACAGATGAATGATGATATGCTCATCACAAAATATTGCTTGAGAAAAAAAATTGCAATTTGCGTGAACTTGTTCATTGCCAAGTCTACTGATCTCTTGGATTTGGCCAATTATGTTGAGAGCTCATTGTTTGCAGCTAACTTATCTCATTTCTTCGGCATTATTTCAGTTATATATAAGGAAATAGAATTTGCCCTTTTACCAAAAAAATAAAAATAAAAATAAAAATGCTTAGATGTACTTATTCAACTAATGGATACTCTCTGAAAAGTAGCTGAACCAGTTCTTTTCTTCCCGATATCTCTTTGAAGCAAAAACTTGATCTGTTGCAGCATTTGATCATCATTCATTTGGGCTCTATCAAGTGGGTTTATGAGCAATTAACTGCACATGATTGTTATGCATATCCAGTGACAGGTAACTTGACAATATAAGAGTGTGCAACTTGATATCATCTAACTAGCCCGTAGGTGAATATTTTTTGTTGTTACGTTCTTATTTATTATACTGTGGGTTATGCCATCGTGGGCTTCTATGTGTCATTGTCACATATCTTCATTATTATCTGTCAATTATTCAATCAAACTCTTTAGTTTACTCGGTCTTCTCTGTGCTCACCGTTCAGTATCTTTACGTTGCTAGTTTTGCTTTCTGCTTCTGATTAAACTAGTAACTTCCTCTTGTACTCATATTTAAAAAGATGCAGTGCGTATCATCATACAACAACAATTAAATAAATCTTCTGGCCACACTTGAAGTGCCAATTTGTTGTCTGTTACATCCTAAAATATCTGATTGGACTACGATTAGTGATTTTGTTTTTTTCTTTTACAGCTTCTAGTAACGATTAGTGGTTCTGTTCATTTTACAACAACATTTTTTTTTTACTTCTTTTATGGACTTATTATTAATTCCCAATTTATTCTTATAAATATCTCAAATTTTCTTTTACTAAATGTAGTAGCTGAAGTAAATGACTTAATTTGAAGTCAATTATGTTGTAATAATATTGTTCCTAGTCTGGTTATGGACTTATTAGTTGTGTACGTTCAAGACTTCAAAATTCTGAAGAAGCAATATGTGGAAAAATGGAAAAGTGTGGAAATGAAAAAGTTAGAGAAAAACACTTTAGTGTTTTGGTACTTTGTGTGTTTTGGTACTTTGTGAACTTCTTCTAGGGTACATACATGCATCAAGGCCCTTTTAGACACACTCTCATTCATTTATTTTTAACCAATTTTTGTCTTTCTTCTTCCTTCCTTTTCAACAGGACTCAAGAACAAACTTGAAAAATGAGGGAGGTAAAACGCATCTGAATTTTACAGTCATTCAGTTAACACATCGTTTATAGATACTTTCCCTGAAGTTGTGGTCTATTTTAAAAAAANAAAAAAAAAAAAAAAAAAAATCTCTGTTTTTTTATTCTTAAACTAAAAGGTATGCAAGCTATTAAATGAATTAAACACAAAAGATAAAAATCCTGAGAAATACTCAAAACGCATGATCTGATAGTGCTTTTCTGATACATTTGCTGAATAATTCTGTTGCTGCAGTATATAATAACTAATAAGTGATAATTTGCCAATTAGGTGCCATCTCAAAAACAACAATTCCAGATTTTCCCACCCCGTAGAACTCGAAAGTGGACTTACACAGGGACTATCGAGAATGCGGGCGCTCTAAGCTATCTTCACTTGCTCGACCAGGAGCCACCGAAAGTTGTATTTCTTTTTCCACATAACTTTTGTTTTCTTGATTTTTTGTTTCTTAACATTTAATCACTCAGTCACTTAATTCTCACCTTTATTTTTCTCATGGAAAGGTGCAGTCTCCTGAAACTCCTAGGCACAGAAGCTTGTCCCCAATGAGGCCAAACAGGATTGGACAAATTACGGTTAAAGAGGTGAGTTATTAATTTGAATCCAGTTTTCTTTTTCTTTTCTTTTCTTTTTTTTTAGAGTACCTTGAGCTTTAGCATAATTAGAAGCTTTCCAAACTATTTTTTTTTCTTTTTTTTTCCTTTTTCTAATATGATTATTCATATTTTTTTTGCTTCAGGAGCCATATCTAAGTGCACCACCAGGCTTCCCAAGTCCAATCTCATCTCCGAAAGCTGGCAGTTTGGTAAGATAAAAAACCGTATTTCATCGTTTCTTATGGAGTAGTATCCTCTTTACTCATTTACTTCAATCTTTACCAATCGTTTTTGAAAAACACAGAGAAATTGCTGTTGCTTATTTGATATTTCATTACTGAATAGATTTCCACTACATTATAGTAATGCCATAACATGCTTTCTGATACATATTTGCAACATATATATATGTATATACTCATTACTCATATATATATATATATATATATATATATTTAATTATTATAATTATGGTTAGGGAGATGAGTTATTAATTTGAATCCAGTTTTTTTTAGAGGATCATTAGAAGTTTTGCCTTGAGCTTTTCAGCATAATTAGAAGCCTTCCAAACTATTTATTTATTTATTTATTCTCCATTTTCTAGTATGATTATTCATATTTTTTATGCTTCAGGAGCCATATCTAAGTGCTCCACCAGGCTTCACTAGTCCAATCTCATCTCCAAAAGCTGGCAGTCTGGTAAGATAAAAAACCGTATTTCATCATTTCTTATCGAGTAGTGTCCTCTTTACTCATTTACTTCAATTTTTACCAATCATTTTCGAAAAACACAGAGAAATCGTGTTGTTGCTTATTTGATACTTCATTACTGAATAGATTTCTACTACATTACAGTAATGCGGCTAATGCCATAACATGCTTTCTGATACATATTTGCAACTTATACATATATATGTGTATATATCTATTTAATTATAATAACTATGTGCAGACTACTAAGAGGGAAGTGGAAAAACCACGCAAGAGACCAAGCTTTGACTGGACGTACACTGGACCTGTCGCTAACTCGACTGCACCGTTGCTCGATTTAGACCCACCAACTTCACCTAAAGTTCATTCTCTACTAACATTTTTCCTCTTTCTCTCCTGAACAATGCATTATGTGTGATTTGAATGCTTTTTGCTTCTGCTAACTGCATTAATGTTTTTTCTCATGAAAAAAGGTACAGAACCGAGCAGAAACTTCTAGGCTCCAAAACCGGATGGGACAAATTTCGGTAAGATATGTGAATCATTTGACTTCGATTTATTACTTTTGCCCTCGAATAGATAAAAAAAAATAGCCACTTTTCGTGGAAGTGTGAAATAATAGCTATTATGTCATGTTATTCATTTCCCAGATTTTCAGAAACGGTTTCTAGTAAGGGTAATTGTGTCAAAATGGCTATTATTCAAAAAGTGGCTATATTTCATTTTTTTTTCTCGGTTGCTTTCCGAAAAAAAAAAGGAGCAAAAAACACAAGAAAAAGTTCATCTGATTTCCTTCATTCACATCCAGGTGCAGTGTCCCAGCCCAAAGCCCAACACGTCTCATCCGACAAGCCCGGGCCGAACCCGATCTCGATCGCCAAACCCTTTCCTCATGCCAAAGGTACAGACCCGAGCGGAAACTTCTAGGCCCCAAAACCGGATGGGACAAATTTCGGTAAGATTATGCGAATCATTTGATTTCTGATTAATTACTTTTGTCCCTGAATAGATAAAAAAAAATAAAATACCCACTTTTTCTGGAAGTATGAAATAATAGCCTGTTTCGCCTAGTTAACCATTTATAGGATCCCAGATTTTGAAAAAACAGTTTTTTTGGTAGTAAAGGAAATTGTGTCAAAATGACTATTATTCATACTCCTACAAAAAGCGACTATAATTCATCTTTTTTTTTTTTCTCGGTTACTTTTTCAAAAAAGAAAAAGAGCAAAAAACCACTAGAAAAAGTTAATCTAATTTCCTTCATTCAAATTCAGACGCCATTTCCTTACCCGGAGCCCAACCCGTTCAATACGACAAACCCGGCCCGAACCCGATCTCGCTCGCCAAACCCTTTCCCCATGCAAAAGGTACAAACCCGAGCGGAAACTTGTAGGCCCCAAAACCGGATGGGACAAATATCGGTAAGATATACGAATCATTTGACTTCCGACTAATTACTTTTGATAAAAGAAAAATACCCACCATTTCTGGAAGTATGAAATAATAGCCTATTTCGCCTTGTTAACCATTCCAAAATTCCAAAAATGGTTTTTGGCGGTAAAGGGTAATTTTGTCAAATGACTATTATTCATACTGCACAAAAAAATGGTTATATTTCATTCTTTTTTTTTTTTCAAGTTACTTTTTGTAAAACAAAGGAGCAAAAAACACAAAAAAAAAAGTTTATCTAATTTCTTTCATTCACATCCAGGCGCCCAGCTCGAAGCCCAACCCTTTCCATCCGACTAGCCCGGCCCAAACCCGAGCCCGATCTCGCTCGCCAAACCCTTTTCTCACCACATCACACCAGCAGAACAACATCCCCCGGAAGCCTCGTTCGGGCCCAAAGCAGAATCCAGTAGCAGAGAACAAAAAGCCCGGTGGGCCGTATCCAATGTCCGGGCACAAAAAGCCCGGTGGGCCGTATCCAAAGTCCGGGCCGAACCCGAAACCGGTCGACGAGCTGTTCTGCCAGCTGTGCCAGGCGAGCTGCTCGAGCGCCCGCACCATGAGCCAGCACCTGAACGGGCGTGCCCACAAGGCCAAGCTGAAGTGGGTGCAGATGAAGAGCTCGGCAGGGGGAAGAAACATCCGGAAGCCCCCGACTTGCGAGGTGTGCGGGATCTGGTGCTCCGACGGCTACGCGCTTAACATGCACCTGCGGGGGAAGAAGCACGAGGCCAAGGTGAAGGTGAAAGAGTTGGAGGGAAACGGGAATCTTGTCGATAAGAGGCCGATAAAGTGCCAGCTGTGTGGGGTCGACTGTATGAATGCGGATAACTTTGCGATGCATCTCAAGGGGCGGGCCCACGCCAGTCGTATGGGGAGGGTGTGATCGTGTGCGCGTGGTCTATTGAACCTTTTGCATGGTCTTGTCTATCTAATCGTTAGACATGCTTAACAGTAAAAATTTTATAAGTAAGAGTTTTTTAAGAGCATGTGTCTTCTTCTCTGTTTACTCATGAATATATGTCTCATTTTATGTAGTGTAAGTTAAATATAAAATATTGTTTTATTAAGAGAATGTCCCAACATGAATATTATTATTATTGAGTGTGCATCATTTTGACAGTCTTCTGATTTCAAGTTTCTTCAGCCAATTGACTTCATTACTTAGAACAAATATTATGCAAATAATAATGTGCTAATAAACATAATTTAGAACGTGATTAATATCACATTTAATCTTAGTAGTTTACACAATATTTGATGATTGATAATGACGCTTTTGCGGATGCTTCAAGGATAAAGTTTCTTTATTTTTATCATGTGAAAACTTAAAACATTTAATAGGTTTAATTTTTTTTCCTAACTAAGCACCTTACTTAATAATTAATATTAAAGTTAGATATAACATCTTATCAGTTTTGGAAACATCTTGCAAGATATGAAAACTTATAAAATTTAGTAGTTTGCAATAAAGGAGATATATTTAAGGGAAATGCTATGGTCCCGTTACGAAGTCATTATGTCGGGATTTGTAACTGTTAGATCATCATGTAACCATCGGGGATAATTGATCTAACGGTTACAAACCTCAACAGAATGATTACGTAACGGGATCGTAACATCCCCCTATACTTAAGCTCATCTAAAGCGCGAATTCTGAGGTGAGGCAGTTTGAGACGCGTAGTCCTAACATAAAATAAATATTTATATATTGAAATGAAATTTCATATCTTTTATTTAAATTATTTTTTAAAATATCATATTTGAGTATATAAATATGTATATATGCTATGTTTATTTTTTTATTCTTTTATTATTATTATTATTATTATTTTTTTGTACAAAAGAGGAGGCCAAAGACCTATAGTGTGATTAAGCTAAGACGCGTTGAGGGTAGGAAACTCTGATAACATCATGATCCAGCCATGTCCCAAGGCCGGAGGGGGGGTGTAGGAACACGCCGAAGTCCCAACGGGGAGGATGACGCCAAAGTAGCCATATAGTCAGCCGCAAAATTAGCTTCACGATGAACGTGGACAATCCAAACTCGCCAATCTCTAGACACCAATTCTCGTATGGCCCAGATTAGTGACCCGTGAGTTCCATGTTGGTCGCCGGAGCCAAAGGCCATGTTCTTCACACACATGCTGTCAATCTCAGCAATAACTTAATGGTAACCCTGGTCCCACGCCAGCTGCAAGTCCTGAAAGAGACCCCACAATTCCGTTGCCGTAATTGTACAAAAGCCAGTATTATTAGGAAACTGGCAATCCAGGTACCCGACTCATCCCTAATAAGACCACCCGCACATCCCATTCCTGTATTGTTCTCAAAAGTACCATCAATATTCACTTTAACCCACCCCGCGCGGACACCAGTGAATCATGCGCGAAGTATGGATTCCAGCCCATTCCTGTCTAACAACATGTTTGTTGTTGATTCTCTACAAGTACTAGTTTTTCTCACATCAACCATAAATTATAAGTTGAAATTCACTAAATCTTTTCAAATAGATGTAAAACACCCCCATAATAATGAAAAATAGTTTGAAGGTGTGTATTTAGTGTTAGATTCTAAAAGTATTTTCTTTTCTATTGGTGACTAGTTTGTTCTCGGCTGTGCACAGCACAGCCGGGCCCTATTTGGAGGTAAATTTTATTTTTAATTAAAAAGTATTTGTGTACTAAATAGTTGTCTGCATTTAATTGGTTGAATAAGAAGCTAATGTTATATGCATTCAGTGGAACAACTACAATCATGTGTGGTATAAAAATTTCTATTTTTTTAGGGTGGGTGTTTCATTGTATGAGAAAATTAGGAATGGTTTGTTTTTTTCATCTGCATCTTATGTGAAGAACTTATTTGATAACCTCTACATAGATTTTGTTATGTTACGAAAAACTTTAATAATTAAATTCTTATGTCCTTGTCTCTAAGATTATTTGGTAACTGGCCATCTTAATTTATATATACGTTATGTTAAATGTAAATCCATCTTCTTGCAAGACTTTATATATTCAAGGGGATAAGAAATTTATTGCATTTAGTCAAACACACCAAGCCACCCACATTGTAGACTTTATTTTTGTGATAAAACCGTAGCCACAAATATATTTATAGGAAACTGAAACATTCCATATCTTCTTTCTAGAAAGATAAATAGAAGAAATGGACCAATGATGCAGGCTAATAACAGCCACCTTCAAGCTGCAAAGAACATTTTTCTACAAAGGTGTGGTAAAATAGTTAATTATCGAACTTATGTATATGTTTTATAAACCTGAATCTTGTAGAAATCAATAATATGGGTTACTTGTTAACTGTGTGGTAATTGAATTTAGCATTAGATTAGTGTGTAGATATGCAAATATATGGATTTCTACTTTTTTATATTTGATTATATGGCATTTCTAAACTTCCAACGGGTTTTTTAGAAGCTTGATTCCATGTGAGTGAATGGACAAAAAGCAGAGTACTTCTCATTAAACACACAAAAAAGTTCCAGTTTCAACAAAAAGCACACACAACAGTGACCGATAAATTCATTCAGATCCTTCTTTTTATTGATAAATGGGAACAACATGCGGATAAGACAAATTCACAAGGTTGTACTATAATTCACTTATGTAAGATTATTTTTATAGAAGACCCAATTTAAGTGACCTGGTGCAGCAAATCGGTGCAATAAATCAGCACAATAATTAGACAGTGCTTCTTAAAATGACAAACATCTATCACTGCGAAATAATTGGCAAATCCCTAGCCACTGCTTGGGGAAACTCATCTACAGACAATCAAAAATTAGTACCACAAACAACCGAAAAGGCTTAGACAACGAGGAATATGTCATGGAGTTAGTTCGGCAGCTTTATATTTATGACCAGTCATACAAAAAGGGCAAAGAAATGTTGCTCATCTCCGGTTAGAGATCGACCGTAAATCTATGATCCAACACCGACCATGGTAACTGAAAGCTTAGTCGTTTTGCAAAAGCCCTCTCAATCCACCAAGATCAGTCGTAACCGCAGAACAGTGTAAGAAACAGATGATCAAAATTCCTGCATCGTGAGAAAAGTTGTAAGAAACAAACGGTGAGAGTAATGATAATTTTAACCATACAAGGTGCCAAATAGCCAATTCATGGGCTCAAAAGTCTTTAAATATAATGACTGGCTCGCTCAAAGTATTCCACAATGATTTAATGATTTACACCATCAAACAATTCTAAAAGCAACTAATATCACTACATAAAGGTAAAAAAATTGTATAGCTACGTACAGGTCCAAAAAGAACCAACTCATGCATTAAGGCTTGTACTGTAATAGGTTCAAAAGAACTAACTCATTCATTAAGGCTTGTACTGTAATAGGTCCAAAAGTACTAACTCATGGTTTTCTTATAAGATAGAGGTAAGATGTTTATCTTTTTTGCATTTTGTATCTCATGTAATGCCTCTTTCTTCTATATTTTCCCCGTTGTTCCAAATAATTTTGAACCAATGTATATATATATATATATTTTTGTCCCTTTCACGTAAATAAAATTCAAGCACAAGAATTTTCACGATAATATGTACAACAAAGTGCTTCTTATCCTAAGCCTTTTCAAGTGTCACTATAAAAATCATAAAACAAAAGCTATTGGTAAAAATGTATAAAATAACAACTCTAATCCTCACAAAGCTAACAAAAAAAGTTCCATCAAAGAATTTATAAAATCAAAACCTTGAAAGAACTCACATTTTGTTATAACCTACTACAGTAGCTGGAAAATCCAAACCTCAACAGGTAGCCACACATGATCTGACAAACAAGTGGATTATTAGAAACTTATAAAATAAGAATGAATCCACACTCAAATAAATCACATAGATGTTCATGATCGAGCAAGCATGGTACCTGCAATATGAAAGAGGCAATGAACATCCGAAGGATTAGTTAATAGAAAAAATCAATAGCTAATTAAAATAAAAAATCAAGTACAAAACATGATCTATGCTATAAGAATACTTGCATTATTTGGTCCTGGGGCTGGGATTGTCTTCCTTGCACATTTTCGCAAGTTGAATCCTGAATATACATCCAAAACACCACGTTAACTTTTAAGTTAACTATACTCATCATGTGCAACAATCCAATCATAAAACATGTTTAACTGTGCACAAAAAAAAAAAAAAAAA